GGCCCCCTTTCCGCCATTTTATTATCGGCAGTATCCTTTGTTTCTCCCTGTTTTTCAACCCATCTAGTTCCCTTAAAATGGATTCTTTTGGCTTTACTTAAGTCAGCCACCACAGGGATGACTGTAGCGATGAGCTAACAACCCACAGGGGCAAAGACAGACACTAAAGTCCCGCGCCATGCCCCCAGGCTGACTATAAAATACAGTATCTACTATCTTCTTTCCCAGGACCCCACAGTCCTAACACCCACGTGGCCACCGCTTCTCTGCCCTGTTGCTTTCTCACCATTTCTGAGAGGATAGCTAGCAATCCCACGGGCGATTTTAGGGCATCGCCGTACTCATGCACTGGTCCAAAACACTCAAAAGACCTGATCGAGTCTCCCCGCATGGCGGTGGCTGGCCAGCTTGGGATTTCCCCCAGAAACAGTGGGCTTTCCGCAGGTCAGCCCCTTCACTCATGCTTATTTCGTTTTTGGTATCCGGCAGACTAACCAACTGTTAGAAGGTGAAGGAGGGTCAGCGATGTATGCTTCATACTGAGAAGGCACTGAAATACCAAAAAACGAAGCGAGCCACTCGGCACCATTTACAGAGTTGTTTTTGTTTTTGTTTTTTTAATTCAGGGTAACTTACAGACAGGAGCGATCTGGCATGTGGACGGACTGCTGAGTGATCCAGATGGTACTACCATTCTCTGCTCCTAGTAGGGCCTTAATCCTCAGCTTTTATGGAATGAGGAGCACCCTGTGAGGTCCCAGGGTAGTTATCTAAAGTGGTGCCACCTGTGTGCCAGAGGCCTTCTCCTAGTTATCTAAAGTGTCGCCATCTGTGTGCCAGAGGGGAGAACAAGATGGAGGGCCAAAGACGGAGTATTATTTGCACTCGTACAAGGAACTTTACTGTTGCCACAAAGTAGGGCAACCTTTTAAACTCTTGCCACTTCTCAAGATGGGGAATCTAATACTTAGGTGACCTCTGTGACGATGTTGCAGAGATTTATAGCATTTTGTTTCGTTTTAGCATTTTGGGTTTTTTTATTTTTTATTTTTATTTTTATTTTTTCAATATATGAAATTTATTGTCAAATTGGTTTCCATACAACACATTTTGGGGTTTTTTAAATGTTTTTTCCTTTATTTATTTTTGGGAGAGAGAGAGCACAAGTGGGGAAGGGGCAGAGAGAGAGGGAGGGAGGGAGGGAGAGAGAGAGAGAGAGAGAGAGAGAGAACAGAGGATCTGAAGCAGGCTGTGCACAGACAGCACAGACCCCGATGTGGGGCTCGAACTTACGAACTGTGAGATCACGACATGAGCCAAAGTTGATGCTCGACTGACTGAGCCACCCAGGCGCCCGTGGAATTTGTGTTTTTCATGACAATTTTAGGTTATGCTTTCTTTCCTTCGTAAGCAGTATTTAACCAATTTTTAAAATATCGTTTCTAGCTCTAAGTAAATTCCTCAAGTATTGGGGCCCAAAACTTACGTTTTCTAATGCTAGTTGATGTGTTGATAATGCCTATGCCTATGGTTTTTATATTTTATTGCATTTTAAGTACTTTTACTATAACCTTCTTTACCTCTCTTTTTAATACTTTTGTAACAAATGATGATGTCTTTTTTGGTTCTCTATGTTTTCATCATTCTTCAAGTGAATTTTTTTCTTTTATATCACATATTTAAGCAGCTTCCTCATGAAGGAAATATGAGCTGTGTGTAAAGGAGTGACTTGATATTTCTGCCAAGTGTATTAATGTAAATATATGAAAAATATTTTATTTGCTAATAGTCTGGGGCATTATTTCACCACTGGGCATTTTTTGCAGAAATACAGAATTAGTATTCTTTAGTTTGACTACTTATGGTTTGTAAAGGGAGAGTGGACATAATTAGCTACAATTTTTCAAAACTGATGACTAGAGATCATTTTTAGCGAGTTTGTCCCTCCTATTAATTTTTAAAGCTAAAATGCTTATCTTTAGATTCCTGAAACTATGTTCTTTACCACCATTAATGAGACATAATGACCGTGGACCCTAGAGGAAGGCTGTGGTTTGGGCACATAATGAAGATGAGGAAGAGGGGGCTAGGGACAATACAAGGACAATGATGATACTTAATGTTTATTGAGAGCCATTATGTGTTAAGCCCTGTGCTAACAACTTTACTTTCTCATTTCTCACAGCAATTATGCAATGATGTTTGACAGTTCTGCCTCCCATTTTACAGATGAGGAAACTGACATTTAGTCTAGTTACCCAGGATCACTCAGGATAAAGATACAGGTGCAGTTCAAACTCCAGTTGGTCTGCTTTTGCAGTGTAAACTGGTAACCATGGCAATATAGCGCCCTCTCTCCGCCCCGCCCCGCCCCGCCCCAGGCATGATGTCTCATTCCTGCCCACCCTCCTGAGTCAGGTGTCATATATTCCCAGAAATCCTCAGATAATAAGGTTCAAAGCTGGTGGGCACCTTTTCTTTAAAAACCACTCTGGGATTGCACATTTAAAAACAGAAGTCCCTCTTTTCCTTCTCACACATCCTAGCCTTATTGCCCTTTTCTCTCTTCCTCTTCATAGTTCTGTGGGATGGCTTTCAGCAAAAAGCAACCACTCATAGTCTCTCTCTCTCTCTCTCTTTTTTTTTTTAATTAAAAACATATTATGATACATCCTGGTGTGAGGGTAGGAGACACTGTCATTTTATTTGAGCCTCTATAGAGAAAGTCCGAGGAGCTAATGCATTTGATACCATTTCACTTTGCAGGAGGAAAAGAAGTTTCCGTTACCCAGTGATGAATGTAATGATGAAACCTAGATAGAGCCAGGTCTACGTTTTGTTACCATTTTTATTGCTACGTGCTCCCAATACAACAAACAGCATCAGTAGTTTACACTTTGATCCGAAGGAATTTTTAGCTTAGTAGAAAAGGAAGCTCAGAGACCAGAAGTATAACAAATATGTACAACTTTGTGGGAGGTTGTATGCGTGTGACGATCTTGCTCTGTATTCTCCTGTGGACCAGATGCATACATATGCAAGCAAACTAGAGAGAATTTCATTCCTGGGAAGTTTTTAGGGGAAAAAAAAATGACTTCCGCTTGAGGTTCAGAGATTGTTTTCCTATCTGGAATTCACCTCGTTCAGTTCAACTTGAAAAGTCTTACATGAAGTAGCAGGTGATTCTTCAGAGGTACGGAGTCAGTAGGAGAAGCTGTGAGTTTGCCATGGTTAACACGCAAAGGTCCCTGTACATTCTGTGCTTGGAGAGGTTAACATCACTGTAGTTCGTTCGCATAATACATTTTTAGACAGTTCAGGAACTGACCTCAAAAACATTATGCTCACAACACTTTCTTTTTTCTTCTAAGTATTTATCTCTTTCATATACTTAAAAAAAAAGTGTTTCTAATTCATCATTTCATTAAACAGCTATCTGAGTCCATACTATTTTATGTGTCATTCAACGGGAATAAGTCATTAACTCTGTATCAACTACTTTCAAAATGCAAAAAGTGTGCATAAAATTGAATTTAATTTTAGCTCTTTCATTTGGCTGCTGTATTTGCTTAAATTTCTCTTCCATGCGCAAAATGTGCATCTCTAATTGTGTCTCTCTAGTTTACTAAAATATGTCATTGATACTAGCGTAAATATTTAGTACATAAAAATACTATCAAGAAAAAAATCACCTTTTAATAAATATCTTCAGTTCTGAATTCTATTTACAAGTACTTTACATCTACTCCCTGGAGAGAGCATTTCTGGCTTCACTGTGAGCAAGGTGACCACTGACATAAATTACTAGCACATTATTGCAGTCAGATGCATTGTGGTTGTGAACATTTGGATATGAACCATGCAGAAAATAAATATTGCAACCATTGATAAATACTTTCTAGAATCTTCTTCCAAAGCCCCAGAGTCCTGCTATACTTGGGTATCAACTGCAGTTCATTGATGCTTTTCTCGGCTACCAACATACAAACAAATGATCTCGAAACATTTTCCCTTTGTTGTTATTACAGTACATTGAGTATAACCGTTTGTATATGTCAACAAAGGGAAAAGAAAAAACAACACAAGAACACAGGACACTTCAGCGGTGCCTATTGGGGTCCCGGTAGTAGGGTTTTAATTTTGTCTTGCACAGGCTAACTTACTAGTCTCTGTTCCCTGTGACCACAAGTATACTAAGACACCAATCCTACCCCTTTTTATTTAAAGGCTGGAAGGTAATAGGTAAATGGAAATCTGTACATCTGCAGCACATCTGATTTTTCTTTTTCTGTGATGTACGTATTGCATTGTTGATTAAACAAAACCACACAACAACACCCTTTGTGTCGTCAGCAGCTACGATTCTTCTTGTTCATAATATTCTGCTTTGAAAATCAACCCATAGAATGTCAAATAAGGCAATACTCAACAACAGGCATCTAGAGCATCCAGAAATGTAATATAGTAAACAATCATTTGAGAACACATCTCTTAAAATAATACTGATTTCTGCAATATACAGTATTTACACGACAGCTGCAAATTCGCTCATACAATACTTCTAATATAGATAAATAGGAATACAAGTCTAAGAATTCTTTGCTCCATTTCCAAAATATTTTGTTAAAGTGTAAACTGTTGGCACCTCTTTTTTTGTTTTTAGTGTAACTTTTTAAAAATAAAAAAAAAATCAGCTGATATACATAATTGGTTCCAGTCCGCTTGCTGCTTTAGAGAGTGACCAACACACTTAGCAACTTACTTTCCTTCTATTAATAATCTTTGGCGCTTTCTTCCAATGAATTCTGGTAAATGAGTCAGTGCAGAACAAAAGGAGGATGAAAGCAACTAGAAAGTGAACCAGCACTTTTTGTTCCTCCACGTACAGATAAAATGAGTTGACAATTTACGGAGATTTACACTTGAAACAAGTATGCACCACGGGGAGAGAGAGCTTGTCCGGGTTTTCCTCTGATTGCTAGCCGTTGAGGTTCACTTTCTCATCTTTCCAAAGTGGGTGATCTTATGGGACGTCTCTTGTCAATAATTTTTTCATCTTTCTTTGAGGTTCTTGCCTGAGAAGAAGCACCTATTGAATCACTGACTGCAAGGAAGTGGGCGGCAGCCATTTCTGAAGATGAGTTGAGGTGGCCACTCTTGGCGGGTGGGGAGGCCAGTCTCAGAGTCTTGCTTCCTGCTTGCTGAGCTCTCCTCTGGGGTAAGTTAGCACCATCAGGTTTACTGTTTGGCCTGGAAGCAGTGACTGCATTTGGACCTCCCACTGAAGAAATCCTACTCAAAGATTTCTTCTCAGCAGGGGGCTCTGAATGGTAAGGAACCAAAGATGTAGGCACTGCTAGAGATCCAGGGAGGTCACTAGGGTTAAAGATAGCATCATCATGAGTTTCAGCAGCTTCTGGAAGGTATGGTGGTGGCAGGGTGCTACTGCGCTTGCTACATGATTCACAACATAACTTGTTATAACCTGGTATGGAGCAGTATCGTGCCAGCACCTCCATTTGACAGAAGATGGACTTGTCTCCCAAACATGGCTCATCTGTAAAAATTAAAAGACAAAATAACACATACATCTAAACATAAAATAAAGGGGAAGAATTAAAATTGTTTATGAATATAAAAAATTTTAAGTAAAATCTAACATTAATGGGAGTTATCTAAACGAGCCTTTCATTAAAAATACGAAGGTTATGGGGCGCCTGGGTGGCTCAGTCGGTTGAGCGTCCGACTTTGGCTCAGGTCATGATCTCACTATCCGTGAGTTCGAGCCCCGCGTCGGGCTCTGTGCTGCCAGCTCTGAGCCTGGAGCCCGTTTCAGATTCTGTGTCTCCCTCTCTCTCTGCCCCTCCCCTGTTCATGCTCTGTCTCTGTCTCAAAAATAAAAAATAAAAATAAAAATAAAAATAAAAGTTAAAAAAAATACGAAGGTTAGTGGTGGGAATGTAAATTGGTGGATCTACTACAGACAACAATGTGGAGACTCCTTAAAAAATTAAAAATAGGGGCGCCTGGGTGGCTCAGTCGGTTAAGCGTCCGACTTCGGCTCAGGTCATGATCTCGCGGTTCGTGGTTTCCAGCCCCGCGTCGGGCTCTGTGCTGACAGCTCAGACCCTGGAACCTGCTTCAGATTCTGGGTCTCTCCATCTCTCGGCCCCTCCCCTGCTCATGCTCTGTGTCTCTCTGCCTCTCAATAATATATAAATGTTAAAAAAATTTTTTTTTAATTAAAAATATAACAACCATATGATCCAATAATTTCGAGAAGGGGTATTTATCTGAAGAAAATGATAACACCAATTCTAAAAGACATATGCACCCCATGTTTACTGCGCCATTATTTACAATAGCCAAGACATGGAAATAAATGTCCAGTGATGGATGGATGAATGGATACAGAAATTGTGGTATATATATTGCAATGGAGTATCACTCAGTTATAAAAAAGAATGAAATCTTGCCATTTACAACATGGATGGACCTTCGAGGCATTATGCTGAATGAAACAACTCAGAGGAGGACAAATACTGCATGATCTCACTTGTGTGAGGAATCGAAAAATAAAACCTCATTGATACAGAGAACAGAATGGTGGTTGCCAGAGGCAGGGGCTGGGGAGTAGGTGAAACGGGTGAAGGGGGTCAAAAGGTAGAAATTTTTAGTCATAAAATAAATGTCCAAATGACTAAATATTGTATTGCATATTTAAAAACTGCCAAAGGTAGATCTTTGACATTCTCATTGCAAGAAAAAATAACTTTGTAACTATATATTATGACAGATATTAACCAGACTTATGGTTGTAAGCATTTCACAATGTATAAAGATATCAAATCATTATATTGCATCTGAAACTAACATAAAGTTATATGTCAGTTATACCTCAATAAAAAATATGAACATTTGGAGAAATTCACTGACGTAGTTCTTTATGTGCAGAGCACTTGGGTTGACCACCATTTTAATATCTCTGTCAAGAGTCTGCAGATTGAGGGTACTTTCTCTTCCTAGTAGGAACACATATCTCATTTTAGAATGAGAAAATAGGATTCATTTTGGCACAAATATTTGTAGGATATAAAGGAGACATCTTTTTTTTTCTTTTTGTTCAGTACCTTTTTTTTTAATGTTTATTTTTGAGAGAGACAGAGAGAGACAGAGAGAGAACATGGAGGGCGGGGGGAGAGGTGCAGAGAGAGAGGAAGACACAGAATCTGAAGCAGGCTCCAGGCTCTGAGAGCTGTCAGCACAGGGCCTGATGCGGGGCTCGAACCCACAGACTATGAGATCATGACCTGAGTCAAAGCTGGATGCCCAACCAACTGAGCCGTATAGATGCTCCCTGTTTTTTTTTGTGTGTGTGTGTGTGTTTTTTAATTTTACGGTCTTTCTGGCTTTCTAATAGAGTAGCTTCTACATTAAATCTAAATTTAAAATCATAATAAATTCTAAAGACCTGTTGGAACAAATTAAATCTTAAAAATGTATTACTGAAAGAATCAAATAATATCCAGAGTCATTGCAATGGTTTCATTTTCACTACTGAATATTCTTAGGCTATTTGTTATTTGAAAGCATAACTTTGGGTAAAGTATACCAACATTCGTTTGAAAAATTCATGGTTTTAAAATTTAATTTCATTGAATTGATAATACTTTACGTACCTTACTAAAGTAACACTCATAAAACAATACAGATGTGTGTGGACTATTTTTATTATTTTTAAATTTTTTTTTATTATAAATTATAAGAATTAGATTCCAAAAAATTCCAAACGTTGAGCTCATGGACACATTAGTTTGTACTTATTTTCAGCCATTTTAGGGCATATCTTATGCAGAGCCCAAGAACTCGGTGCAACTCCGAAATACTGATCCTATGTCCAAATCATAAACACAAAGAATTCTAAATTGTGGCATTTATGTACTATAATCACTTAAAATTACAGTATGTTACTGAGTAATGCCCTATGGCTAGGTAAGGAACCTGCCATATAAATTGCTAAAGAAATAAAGAACCTTTTTTTCTAAAGTTTGGGGAAGAAAAGACAGTTGGCAAGAGCAATAAACAGCTAAAATTACCACCTATACCTATTACCGATTAAAAATTATAAAATTAATTATAAAATTACCTATTAGAGTTATAATGCCATATCCCCTTTCCAAATTGTGGAATGACCTGTATTTGCCTGACATTTACAGATCTATTTGATGGTATGACGTGTCTAAATATTTGATGTTAGCTAAGGTCATCATCTAATTATGTTGTGAACGCCTGTGAGACATATTCACGGGTTTCACCTCAAATACCCTTATCACTTCTGAATTACCTTTTCTACGCCTATATCTTAAAATAAGATTAATTTCTTCTTCCATATGTTTAAGGCTCTAGGTCCTGAGATGAGAGGCCTTTATTTGACTTTGTATTCTCTTCTCCCTCTGACCCTTCACCCCCTTGCGCCTCCCTTCACCCCCCTCACCCCCATCTGTGGCCCAGCTCAAAGCGTGACCTATTCTGAGTCCACGTGTGGGTCTCCCCTCTCTGCATGAGCACCTCAGCACTGCACCGAATGCTTCACAACCTGGGTCTAATTAGGGCCAGAACATGCTTCTGTATAGAGAAGGAAAAGGGAGAGACAGTCGGAGAAAAAAACAAATAAGAGCAAAAGAATACATTCATTTTATCATAATTTGCCTCCGGACACATGGGAAGGGCTTAACAGCAACAATGAAATAGTACATCTAAGTGGGGCTTAGGAAAAGGATTCATATGACAAAATCAATCACTTAAATTAAGGAAGCTTTTTAGCTGTTTTGTCCTGTGGCCAGATCATTATAGGAAGTTATTATAAGAAGGAAAAGCATTTTACACATAGTCTCAAAAAGCCATTTGGTTTTAGTTGCAGTTTGAGACTGAAGGGAAGTATTGCTTACTTGAAATGTGTGACAGAAATGTGTGGCCTTTTCGACCTTGTAGAATTGGCTGTTGGGCCTGGATTTCAGAGCAAGAGAACAGCTACAAGAATGTGGAATCCCTAACACAGTTAGACTATCTCATTCGCACCTCTGTTGTACAATTAAAAAGGATTTCTTTTAGCTAAAGGAAGAGAACCAAGCAGCTCTCTGACAATTGGGCATATTTACAGAAATACATAGCTCTATCAGCTATTAAGGTAATAAAGTTTACTCAGGAAGTTTTTAGCCAGCCTCCTGGCAGTAATACATAAGAATAAAATATTATGGCAACAGTGAACTTCACAGTTTCTAACTGGGTAAAGTTTGTTCTTTTGGCTTTGGCTTGTGTTTTGAATTTTTAAATATACTTTTCCAGAGAAAAATGATGAAATACATAAGTCCTTTGTCTCCCCCTCATGGTCATACCTATTCTTGCTCCCATGCATTTCAAATAAAAATTTATAGTGAAATAATTTGTAAGGTTTAAAGGACTTGATGTGAAATTTCCTCAAAAAAAGGTGAGACATTTGATACAACAGTGCCTTGACAATTTCCTTGAAAAAAAAAGAAAGTACCATTCAACAGAGGTTGGTATTAAGGGCTTCCTATAGTGTAGACCAACAAATAGGCAACTTTTTGAGTCCCAAGTCTCGCCAGTGTGACAGTAACGTCCACAGATGTCATGAGGTACAGATTTAGAAGAATGGCATTTAAGAGGAAGCTTGTGATAGGGGAGGTGGGGTGGGTAAGGGAGGAACAGAATAGGGAGGATGTATGAGGTGGCGGGGGGCAGGGGGAGAGAAAGAAAAAAACAGGCTGGGCAGTGGAAGGTACAAGAAGAAAGAGAGCCAGACACCGCAGAGGAACAGAGACACAGGGGCTGGGAGAAAGAAAGAAAGAAGGTGAGGAAGGGAAGAGACAGAGACAGGGGGTGGGGGAGATGAAGAGAGAGATACAGACACAGAGTGGGAGAGGAAGGCAGAGGAACAGGGAGGGGGAGAAAGGGAAGAGCAACCTGAGAACGAGAAAGATGGGGGGGAAAAGAGAGACACAGACACATGAGCTAGAAAAAGCCTGGAGGGAGATGTTAGGGAGAGAAAGAAGGAATATGGGAAAAGGAGACAGGAAGAGATGAGGAGACAGAAGAGAGGGAAAGAGAGAAGGGGTGGAGGCAGGGAGAGAGAGAAGAACAAGGCTGAAAAGGGTATGTGACAGACACAGAGAAAGTGAGCAACCTATAGGCTGCAAATGACAGTAAGTCAGAGAGACAGGAAGCAAGAGTGGACCAACACAGAAAATGAGAGACAGAAGCCAGCAAATGGCGATACAAAATGAGACAGAGGACAGAGATGGATGTAAAGAAAGAAAACCACCCAAAAGGAGGAAGAAGGAGACAGAGTGATAGAAACTGAAACCATCCAACATATATTTTGTTTTACCATAGCACACTGATACGTAGTTGAAAATAAAGTGCGCTCTGCTTTTGCAATACAGCAAGGAGGCAGGCTGGGCAGACGTCTGCATGCGTGCAAGGTGCCTATTCTGCAATGCCCTAGCTGAAGCGCACCCATATGGAGGGACAGATGACAGACACGGCTTTGTGAAGGATGTTTATTACCCACATGCCTAAACTGAACAACTACAGTAATATATTTCAAAACCTTCTGCCATACTACGCCATTCACAACTGATGTGAAATTGTAAAGACAATCACAGAGAGAAAGTAAGTCGCTTCTCCTACTAGAAAGACAAATCAGCAGTAGCTTCAGACAAACATCATGCCCTCACCCCAGCATTAGCACCTGAAAGGAACCACGAAGGCTGCAGTGGTTATGATATAGCTCAAACTCTCATCTGGAAAAACACTATTCGGCTCATGTCTCAAGAGGGGTTTTCCTTAGATTATTTTTTGATAAGCAAACAGGAATTCCAGAGATTGTCCTGAAATTCGTTTTTTTTGAGGCTTAAAGACCATGGTCAGTGCAGTGAAACCAGTCAGTGTCACACCTACCGTGACAGGGAGGCAGCTGACAAGCTCTGGAGGACTGGGGCTTCTCCCCTGCGCAGTGGTCTCCAGCCCTGCAGAGGACCTGCCTCACCTCTGTTCCTTCACCGCATGTTACTGAACACTATAGAAACAAAGGCTGGAATTATAGACGTTTGTTCCACCAAGAACCATCTTTCTCCCTTTCTCCATGCGCATGCGCGCGCACACACACACACACACACACACACACA